TGGTAGTGTATGTTCTTCAGCTTGATGAATTTATTTTCACCTATTAAATTTTCAACATAAAACAGACATTCATATATGGAGCAAGATCGCAGAGCTAATAGACGGAGATTTTTGAAAAGAGGTTTACAATGATCGTCGTATTCAGCCTGTGCCATAATTCTTACTACTTTTTTTTTGTAGTTTAAATAATATATCTAGATGACATGATGAACCCCAAACTATTAGTGTATATGTCATTATGCTGTGAAAAATGGCTAAATAAGCTACTCTTAAACAATCCGTTGTTATTATGTTGCTAAGTTGTCTTATCATGTATATACACGTGGATAATCGATTTGATAATTTGTGAATATGTGAAAAGAAATTCAGGGATGAGTCAAAATACACTCCGAGAATCTTGACTGGTTCATTATTTTTTATATTATTCTCAGTTGAGGAATCTAACGTTTTGGTTTTATTATTATTTATAATGAGATAATTGCTTCTAGACCAGTTTGCTAGAAAGGTTTCAGATGCCTTAGCGTTATAAAGTAGATTGTGAGGCGTAGTGTCACTCAACAAGAAAGTTGCATCATCAGCGTACATTATAGGAGACACATCAATTACGTTGAAAGTCATATCATTAATATGAATAATAAATAATACAGAACCCAGAACTGAACCCTGTGGTACTCCATGATTGACTTTTAAAGGTTTTGATATATCGCCGTTGAATTTAACACGTTGCTGGCGGCCTGCGAGGTACGATGTAAATAGATTTAGAGCTTTTCCTCTGATCCCATAATATTCTGATTTTTGTAATAATATACACCGTGGTCCACCGTATCAAAACGCTTTGGACATGTCATAAAATTTCGCACGGTACAATTTACGCTCCTCAAAAGCTTCTAGAATACTTTCATACATTTCGCAGATTGCACCGATAATTGATCTCCTCTGTCTGTAACCAAATTAAGTATTGCTTAATAAGTTCTTTTTTCAAAATGTTTTAGTAATTCATTAGTACAATTTCGAATATTTTTGAGATAACAGGTATATTGGAAATAGGATGTGTTTTGTAAATGTCTGAGTTGTTGAACTCGCCTTCCTTATGAATAGAAGTGACTAAAGCAAATTCAAATCCAAGATAGAATGGATGTAAACATTGACATGCCCTACGCACGTGATATTGAAAATCCCAAGAATTGGCCAGGGTCGCATTTAGAAACAACATCTTGTTGATCGCAAATGCTATATCATACTTAGGAAAACTTTTTTATAAAAACGAGTGAAATGCACAAGTTTTGCAGTTTAACGGGAAAAATGCAGATAATATGTGTAATATAAAAAAAAAAAACGCAACTTTGCCCTAATTCAAGCTTCAACGTATCCCCTGTAGTTTAGGAGATCCCAATGGTGGGGGTCGAATTTGAATTACACAGAATACCTTGATCATAGGTGGATGTCCATTAAAATAAAAAACGAGTTATTGACTTTTTCAATATAATTGAAGCTGTTTTGGTCACAATTTCACAATTCTCAGTATGTCTTCAATTCACTAGAAAACACGTGAGTATTAAGAAAATAAAAATCCTAAAACGAAAATCAGAAAAGTCTCCTATGCAGTCTTCTTTCTGCTATTTATTTTGAAATAATGAAATATATCTCAGTAAGGAGTAGATTCTTTGTGAATCAAATTCATGTAGTATCTAAGTGAAATCTGATAGAAAATTGAAAACATTAATGTAAGTAGTTGTATTTGATGATAAGCATTCATTCGAGATCATTCAAAGGTGTAGTTATCTCATTATTTTTGGAAAAATCTACTGATTGTTACTGAGTGTGAACCATGTTAATGATTCTCCATTAGATAAAAGTCTCGCGTTATAGTTATTAAAGATAAAAAGTTTATAACATATTTATCGAGGATAATACAGTTTTTCATTTATTGCGGACATTTTTAACCTCTGGTAGAAGTCCATTATATCAAAAAGTGGAGTGCAGTATATTTGCGAAGAACAAAAACTGAAAAGTCGTCTCCACAATTAAATGTCGCCATCAGATGTTAGAGCGGTAAAACCATCAAACAGTACATGTTTCGAATCTATATAGGTTCATCATCAGCTGATATTTAAAATTATGGAGAAGAAAATATTTTATTTTATAACGGAGAAAAAAAAATAACACATATTACTAATAAACAAATAGTCACAATGACGTATTAATAAAAATGAGAAAAAGGAGAAATTTATAATATCATATCGTGACTATTTGTTTCATTAGTAATATGTGTTAATTTTCTTTTCTCCGTTATGAAATAAAATATTTTCTTTTCCATAATTTTGAATATTAGCTGATAATGAACCTATATCAGTTCGAAACATGTACTGATTGATGGTTTTACCGCTCTAACATCTGATGCTGACATTAAATTGTGGAGACGACTTTGAGTTTTTATTTTTCGCAAAAGCGGACATTATTGTTTAAAAACAAATTTTGATGCTCTTCTCAAATTCTTTAGGAAATAATTTTATTTTTAATGATTCGTATTAACTTTTTAAATAAGACAGTCTCTCAACGCTAGACGCGTGTCATATACACATACAAACTACTTTTCGCTTTCTGGACATATTCAATTTCAGTAAAGTTGGTACCGAGAAATGATGTTCTGTAACACTTTTTTTTCAAATTGTACTGTACCAACAAGGTATGTCTTCTAATTTCATCTCCGCTCAAATCGAATGTTTGAAATATGTTTTTTTCGTTAACCAGCTATCGCACCCATACAAAAGATAACTATCAAAAGTCGAAACTTGTACGAGCTAAGGACTAACGAGGTCTTACCTTTTAACGTGTGATTTCTAACACGGAATATAGTGTATTTTCTGAACGACATGTGAAAGCCTGTGTCATAGTGAATGCGTGTGTGTATGAGTATAGTATATCCAATACCAAGTGGAAGAGCACAGAGAGGGAATTCCCGCCTCGACATAGGCGTCGGCATATTATTTTTCTGTGGTAGTTTTTCAGTTACTTATTCTTACAATCATAGCAATTGATCACCCCATGAAAAAGTTATCTCAAAACCACAAGACAATAAGACACCTCGTAGAGTTTCTAAAGATTTGTAATTGTAATCGGGATAGTCGAGTAGTTTATACCAAATCATTTCCAAGGTTAGTACTTCATTTTTTTGGTATATACCATAAATTGTTCGCCGAATCACATCTTTTGTAGCACCATCAACGTTTGCGAATTTTTAATTCCTTTGGTTTCGTTTCATCGCATGGTCAATGACATCCCCTATTTCAGTGACTCGAAGAACTGTCGAACGAGATATTTTCGTTAACTTGCATATTCTATTCACAATAGCATTCTGTGAAGTGTGACAGTTTTCCTTCTTCAAGCATTCATGAATATTTGAAATTACTCGCTGAACTTGATCATGTAAGTTCTTATTTTCAAATTCCGGATTCCAGTCAATTGACACAGATTTCTCACACGTAATGTTATCATTTGTTTCGAAAGGTCTCCAGAAAGCCATATTGATGAAAATTCCCAAAAACACTAATATTTTCACAAAAATCGGTTTGAATGATGAGATTGGAACCTTTGGTGTAAAAGTTGAAAACTTTTTCTAGAGATCAATTACCCTAACACCAAACTGGTATTTTCGCACTCGACGCGCGTTTCACTAACAAGGTTAGCATCTTCAGGAGAAGCAAATTGATACTGAATCTAAAGACAAGGGTTAGCTGTTTATATACCTAAAGTTTTTTGGTCCGATGTGGACTTTGTTTGTTAAATGATGATTATCCTAATTGATTTTTCGGTAATTAACTAGTGGAACCACTACCTGCAAATTAATTTGTCCGCTTTTCAATCTACTGTTGACGAATTAATTTACAGGTAGTGGTTCCACTAGTTAATTACCGGAAAATCCATTAGGATAATCATTAGTTAACAAAGTCCACATCTGACCAAAAAACTTTAGGTATATAAACAGCTAACCCTTGTCTTTAGATTCAGCATCAATTTGCTTCTCCTGAAGATGCTAACCTTGTTAGCGAAACGCACGTCGAGTGCAAAAATATCAGTTTGGTGTTAGAGTAATTGATCTCTAGAAAAAGTTTTCAAAAATCCGTTTGCAAAACCACTCACTACCTCACCTAACCCCACGAACACACGGCACTGATAGAAAAATATTCAGCCAGTCCAGCTAGTCGAGCCTTTACTCCTCAACTACATTTGATAGCACGTTTACTAACTATCTGGACGAGTAGTGACCACAGGCAAGAAATGTTTATGACTGTACTCTTATTCTTATTGCCGTTGCAGTTGGGAATGGATAGACTATACCTATCTGTGTGTTGACTATTTGTTTCCTTGGATTACTAGCTGATATGAAATGGTAATGAAAGATATATCTATACTTCTATACTTATATAAATGCGAAAGCCACTCACTTAACACTCATTCATCTCTTTTTCTCCATACTGGTTAGTCCTAGGAAGCTAAAATTTCATATATAGGTTCTTCTCAGCTCTTACTTGTGCAATAAGAAAGGATTTTCAAATAGTTTAATTGGAGTGCCCTCTCTGGGGATAAAAGGGGCGCGTTCACATATGAAAATTACCTTTTCATCACTGGTTCTGCGTACCGCTTAATTTTCGAAGGCTGAAATTTTGTATGCGGGTTAGTTTTATGTTGTAGATGCGTAATAAGAAAGGATATTTGAAAATTTCTGTGGCGCTTGGCGCTCGAAAAAATAGAATTCATATAATAAAGTATGATCTATATGAAAGCCTATACAGGTAATGTCTCGTCGTACAAATATATTTTCATTAATTGAATTGAACTGTCCGATACTTGATGGAAATCAATGTTAAAACTAATTAATACAGTTTATTGTATGATTTTCACTCTAATATAATAAAAGTGAAAATCATACAATAAACTCTATTGATTAGTTTTTTTTCGGTGCATTTTCATTTCCATAATTAGCGTTAAATGTCATTCTGTTGGGAGAAATTGATAATAAAAAGTACCTATTTGTTGAACGAAAGTCGTTTTCTGTTAAGGAAATCAGAATTTTTCATCGACATACTCAAAGTACCTTATAGTTTCAAGTGTAGGCTTCAGTTTTTGATATATAGGTACCTATCTGAAGATTGCCTTTGAATTACTTGATATATTCTCTGTTTCGTATAGCGATATTGTTCCGCATCGTGGAAATTTGGATACTACTATTTGGAAGATATATAATGACGAATTTTCAATTTTATTCTGCAGTTATATTTGACATATCACCCATTCGACTGTTTTTTTCAGTATTCATTTTTTTTCGTTGGTCCATTAGTTCGTACACGTTACACATCCTTATTAGAATCGTTTTATTTTGAACAAGTTATTTAAGAATCTTCGCGAATATCTTCAAATTGCACGCCCTTAATCGATCTGATAATAATCAATTTTGAAATGAGTAGCTACAAAAATGATATTGAAGACACTTAGTAAGTGTAGTAAGTCAAGTAAGTTCATTGACTTCATTACATACTAAAATATGTTTGTAGCAGGTCATTCACATTCAAAATGAGTTATAAAAATTGAACAACATAAATATTTCAAAAATTGGACAACACACACATTTTAAAATTATCCAAAATATTGTGCAGTCAGAAAAAAATATATACATAATGTCAACACAAAGCTTGAACAACCTACAAATGAAAAAAGAAGAAGAAATAACACATAACCTATTTTCAAAATTGGGTTGTAGAAATATGTTTTCAATATCCATTGAGTTTCACTGTTTTTTCCAAACTTAGAGTGACTGAGAACTTTGAACTCAAGAGAAAGACTCATAAACAAATCATTGTCCAAACTATTTTTTGGGATTTTGTTAAACGAAATCGTTTGATCAAGGAACTCGACTTTTTGTAAACTCCAACTCAAAATGAAACTTAAATTTTATGAAAAAATTTTGAAAATGTTCTATAAAATTAGAGTGACTGATGACTCGTATAGTTTTATTTTGAATCTTATAAACAAATCATTGTCCAAACTATTTTTTGGGATTTTGTTCAACGAAATCGTTTGATCAAGGAACTCGACTTTTTGTAAACTCCAACTCAAAATGAAACTTAAATTTTATGAAAAAATGTTGAAAATGTTCTATAAAATTAGAGTGACTGATGACTCGTATAGTTTTATTTTGAATCTTAAAAATATCTCAGCTTCCATAAAATTTCCCCAGAGTAGTAGCTGTAGCTAATGGAAGAGTGAAAAAGGTAAAAATATGTTGTTTTTAGAACCATTTACATCTCACAGTTGACATGAAATAAATATTTTGAATCTTAAAAATATCTCAGCTTCCATAAAATTTCCCCAGAGTAGTAGCTGTAGCTAATGGAAGGGTGAAAAAGGTAAAAATATGTTGTTTTTAGAACCATTTACATCTCACAGTTGACATGAAATAAATATTGTTGAACATAATTTACTTTTTGAGTGATTGATGTGACAGTTCCAAGTCAGGTTACTGTCCAAAGTTATTCCCAATATTTTTACCTCTTTCTCGTCATCAAACGTGCAGAAAAATGAAAATTTTGGATTTTATGTGAATTTAATGTGAACCAATTTTCTGCCATATTACTCACTTCATTAGCTAAACTTGAGAGTTATATTTCCGACAACTTCTTGATACATTGTAACGTCAAATTCAGTTATGCAATTTCTGGCCACAAAAAAATAATTGGATTTATCTCCTGTAACTATATGCGCTCTCCGAAATTATGAAAAATACTCACCATGGATTAGCAACACTATAAAATTAATGAAGGAACTTGAAAATAACGCCCTCAAACGCTTTAAATGAATAACCAGGAACCACCGTAACTGCTGTCAAAGCATATTGCAACATTCCAGTCAGATATAGTGGTGAAATTTCATTTTCAAAAAGTAATAAACATTTTCTTTCGGATTTACCCAGTATCTAATGCGAAGAAGCTCAGAAATGCCACATATTTTTATTATTTGTTTTTTGGAAATTACAACTTCAAAATTGAAAATTTCGACTCTGAAGTCAAAGTTCCGACTTCTATCTCGAAATTACAACTTCAAACTTGAAATTTCAACTTCAATCTCGAAATTTCAACTTGAAATGAATTTCAAGATTGAAGTCAAAATTTCTAGACTGAAGTCGAAATTTCGAAATTGACGTTGAAATTTCGATTCTGAATGAATTTTGAGATTAAAGTCGAAATTTCGAGTTTGAAGTCGAAATTTCGAGTTTGAAGTCGAAATTTCGAGTTTGAAGTCGAAATTTCGAATTCGAAGTTGAAATTTCTAGTTCGAAGTTGAAATTTCGACTCGAAGTAAATCTCCGGATTAAAGTCAAAATCCACAGATTGAAGTCGAAATTTCGAAACTGAAGTTGAAATTTCGACTCGAAATAAAATTGAAGAGTGTTGAAGTCGAAATTCCGAGTTCAAAGATATTTTGAATTGATAATTCCCAAGAAACAAATGATACAAATATAGGATATTCACGTTAAGAAGAGAATGACGTCATAAGATGACAAGTTACGCCGTTGCCAACATGTGTACTATTTCAAACTTAATTTTTTTGTACTGTTGATTTGTTTTATTGCTATTAACCTTACTTACTATTAATTTACTTTGTTGAAATACAACTTTGTTGAGACTGTTTCGACAATACTTTAGGCATTTTGAATATACGCAGGTCTTATCAAAAGGAATGATTAGTTCTGAAAAGAAAAACAAGACTGACAGTATTCGATTTTTGTATTTCGATATTTTTTCCGACTCGGCAACTTCTGAAATTTTACTATCAGTTGAGCAATTCACAAAATGAAATTTTACTTGTTTCATTGCTATTGAACGCATTTCATAGGGAATTTTAAAGGGGTTATGTTGGATATACAAAATTACCAAAATGACGTCATTCTCTTCTTAACGTGAATATCCTATATGTGGCGGTTACGTAGTTTTTATATGAATGAATGAATTTTTGATGAGTGATCAATGACCAAATAATATTAAAAAACAGAAAATGGCAAACTTAACTTTAAAACCTAGTTGAATCATGATTTGATCGTTGAAAATTGTTTTGAAACTTACCCCGTATCTATTTTTGTGATTAATATCAAACCCACAAACAATGAAGGTTTCCACGCCATGGTGTGAATGTTTATGGAACGACTCGCACAGATTACTCGAATAGTAAATTGACAAAGACAAAAATTATTGCACAATAATTGCACGATCTGTCGAAAAAAATCAGGAATCAACAGTTATATACCATTCATATGTGCTTGATACTTATCTATTTTTTCTGATTAGATAAGTGCCCATCAATTCTCCATTTTTTATCAATTGGATGTGCGTTCGAATTGATGACAAATTATTCCTTCAGGCGTTTCATCATTTGCAAAATGAATCGAATTTCAAATGAGAGTGTCTGAGTCGATCTGATGTATTTCTGGTTTTTTTAATTTTTCATAGTTTTATTTAACAAAAATCAGTTTTCAAAGAAATTACCCGGTAGCAATTCAAACTTTGAATGAGAATAAATACTTTGTTCATGAATGATAGTGCACTCAAAAATTACAATTAAAGTTACAGTTTGAATTGAGAGGGGTTCATTTTTAGGAGAGAATAATCTTTGGGAAAAAATGGCTTTGATTTTCTGTTTCTTCATCTTCATCAAAACAAGGGATTACCTTAAAAACATAATGCTAAACAAATATTCTCACGACCATGAGCAATAATATAAAAAATTAGAAATGTGGTCAGAAATTAATCAGAATGGGGAAAAACCAATATAACAGAAATAAACTAGATGAAGGTAGCGGACTTTGTAAATAAACATGGAAAACCATGAACAAAATATCCAACACTAAATCAAATGAAAACCAAATAGATAACATTACTATTACTGAAGAAAATGGTATTTCTATAAATGAAAATGAAGCAAAAGGTGATTTTTTTAATGATTATTTCATAAAAATAAGACTTGACATGGCTGGTCAAATTGATAAATGCGATTTATCAGACAATTTTTCAACAGAGTCCTCGATTGCTCTGACCTGTATAAGTCTACCTGTATAGGTAGACTCAAAAATAATTGTGCACCAGGACCAGGACCTCTGAACCCAATATAAACATACATATAATATACATGGTAGGCCATCGAAAACTTGACATGGAGGTTTTGAGTACTAATCTTCCAAATCCGAAAAAAAGCTCAGACAGGTCGATTTTTATTGGGATGGAAACAGTTTTTTTCCCCATTTACAGCGTCGTCATTTCAACCCCGAAGCAGAGGGGTGAACAATCCTTGGAATTTTAATAAGGAACTGGGAGCGGCGAGTCGCACATCGTTTGAAAGATCTTGGAATTCTCTAAACAATGGTGTACATTTTTTGAATTTGGATGTATTCAAAAGAGTTCTTTCTGAATATTTGACTTTCTCAATATTGTGTAGTGAGTGCCGTAAAGGGTTGCTGAAGAAACAATGGATTACACAACTGCAGAGAGGGTTGAGTTGATTGAACTGTACTATGGAAATAGACGTTGTGCTGCGAGAGCCGCTGAACTGTTCAATCAACAACATGGGAATAATGTGTGGCGACAGTATGTTTTCGAATTAATTGCAAAATTTCGCGTAACTGGATCTGTATCAAATTAAAAACGGTAAATCGAACCACCAGTAACAAATGAGGCAACACAAGTGACAATTATGGGTCAGGTTGGGCTTGACTATACTTTGAGCACAAGAAACTTAGCATTTGTTTCCGAGGTGTCACGAACTAGCATTCGGCGTATTTTGAAAACACACAATATTCATCCTCACAAAATTAAATTAACGCAAGAACTGAATGAAGATGATATCGATCGACGCTTGCAATTTTGCGAGTTGGTTAGTGACCGAGAGGTGGAAAATTCACATTTTGTTTTCAATATTTGCTTCAATGATGAATGTTCTTTTTTCTAAATGGCACAGTTAATCGCCATTGTCGCTATTGGGCTGATTCAAATCCTCACATTTTTCATGAAGTGCATACTCAACGTCCACAAAAATTAAATGGAATTTTTGGTGCCCATATTGTTGGCCAATTGTTTTTAGAAGGCAATTCAACCGGACAAATATATCTGGAGCTTCTGGAAGATACTATTAATCCCCTTCTCACTGTTATTATTGAGAATGACCACAATTATCGGTAGGATCTGTTAATATTTCAACAAGATGGGGCTCCCCCGCACTATGCTCTGCCTGTTCGGCAGTATTTAGATCAGACTTTTCCGGATCACTGAATTGGGAGGCGAAGCACTATCGAATGGCCACCACGATCACCACACCTTTCGCAGTTAGATTTCTTTCTTTGGGGTCATTTGAAAATCAGAATTTACTGTACTCCTCCTGCATCACTCGAAGATTTACGGCAACGAATCACAAATGAATGTCGCCAAATCACTCCAGAAATGCTCCACAATGTTCGAGAACGTTTCCAGGAGAATCTCTATTATTGCATGGAAGCTGGAGGTGCCCATTTTGAGCATATGCTAACATGAGAATAAAGTCACTTCAATTCTAAATTTAATATAGTTCGTCCAAATTAAAAAAACATGTACACCGTTGTTTGTAGAATTCCAAGATTTTTCAAACGATGTGCGACTCGCCCCCAGTTCCCTATTAAAATCCCAAACGTTGTTCACCCCTCTGCTCCGGAGTTGAAGTGACGACGCTGTAAATGGGAAAAAAACTGTCCCCCTCCCAATAAAAATCGACCTGTCTGAGTGTTTTTTAGGATTTACAAGATTAATATCCAAAACCTCCATGTCAAATTTTCGATGGCCCACCCTGTATTTTGAAACCGCCTGTCCATCTAATAAATTCATGTTACAAAAATGGAAACCTACCCAACCAATGGAAAGAGTTATACCCGTTTACAAGGCTGGGGCAACAGACACCAAATGAAGAATTATACACCAATCTCTGTGATAGATAATTTTGAAAAAATTTTTGAACAATCGGTCAAGAAAAGATGATTTGAGTTTTTTTTTTACAAGTACCATGTTATAACCAATGGACATTTTGGATTCATTCAAAACTCGAACACTGAAAACGCTGTTGAACACACAATAGAAATAATGGATGAATCATTGAAATGTTTGGCTGTTTTTCTTGATCCAGCAAAAGCTTTTCCTACCGTGGCAAATGATGTCTTGTTGGGAATACTTTTTGGGAACGGAATACGAGAGCACCGTTTGGAATGAATGCGAAATTATCTGTCACGGAAAACACAAAAGTTAAGATAGGGGAAGAACACAGCAGTTCAGCAAATACATCTGTTGGTGTACCTCGGGGTACAGTTTTGGGTTCAATTCTGTTCCTGATATACATCAACAGTATATCACAAATCAGTGGTTGTGATATACTGTGATATACTGTCAGTCTTCATTTTGATGTTTTCAAATTCAAAATATACAGCAATTTTGAAATAATCTAGATTTTTTTGATTACTAAAATGTTGGAATCTCTTATTACCAAAAATCCCATAGTCAAAGATTCGCCTTTTTTGGGCCAAAATTATATTACCAGCTTCTTACGAAGCTTAAAACAATCTCAAAAAGAAAATCCTAATGTACTCAACATATTCTGAAAATATATTGAAGATTTACCAATAACTCATTGCTTAGTGCAGTTGACTTCAGTTTACTTTCTTTCCGAACTTCATATCTATTTTAATGTTAATTCAATTTTGATTTACTTTCACTCTCATGTTCTCTTCAGACAAAGAAAATAAGTGATTTGTTTGAATTATGTAAACATGTACAATAAAATAATATTCCAACTAGGAGTGGAGGGACACAGCACAAACAGGCATTCTGATGGCTAGATGTATTTCACCCATTTGTAGTGGTTTTGACATATGTTTATGACTTAATTCTCTTATTGTACTGAAAAAAAATTAAATAGATTTGATTTAATATAAATTTGAGTTAGGTAACTCTCATATTCAATTACCTTTCTCACCTGGTACCTGCCCAGGTGTCACAAGTCGAGCTCTACACGCATGCAGGTTTTCAAAGAACATGAGATGCTACTGAGAACTTAAGGTTTTATCTATGTGAGAATAAGAAAAGAATCAAATATTGTACCGACAGTTTTCTCCCATATTACAAAATTTATTTTCTAAATTGTGCAAACAATTACATATTCACTACACAGTGTATTTCTTTAATGTCCCTCTCCTTTTATTTTTTGAACAGGTCAACTCAAAAAACTGGAAATTTGTGAAAATGAAATTAATGCATGAATATTTTATCATGAAATGAAATTGACTGATGAAATTTTCAAGACGGCGACTAGGCGCCATCTAGGAAAAAAAATTAAATGGAAAGGAGGGTCTTGTGATTCATCATTTTGAAGCTCGTGACGAATACTTCACAACCCTAGGATATAATGTCGATATCTTCAACTACTATAAAATGGCAGAATAATTGCCTTGAATACATTGACATTTAACTTCATAATATGAGGTAATAAGCTTGAGGTCAGTTCGGAAGATGCTCGAAATGGTTGCCTTGAACTTCTTGACATATGAACAGCATATCCGAAATTTCACGCTGAACATTTTCGAACACAGTAACGTCAATATCTCTACAAATATTTATTATTCTCTGCCATATATCCAATTTTGAAGCAGGTTCAGTTTTGCCCTTTTGCTTCAAATAGCCCCATATAAAAAGTCCAAATGTGTCAAATCTGACGAGCGGGCTGGCCATTCTGTAGGACCTCGATGGCCAATCCAACGACTTGGAAAAGTAGTATCCAAATAGTTTCTTACTTGTCTGGAGTAATGTGGTGGTGCTCCATCTTATTGGAATACAATATCCATATGACGATTTCAGTGATGAGAGGGTCAACAGTAGTTTCCAGCATATTCAAATACAGTTGTTAAATTTCGATCAATGGATATAAGTCCTACAATATGGTTTCCCAATATTCCTGCCCAAACATTAATTTTTTCTGGATATTGGGTATATGTTTCCCGGAAAACGTGAGGGTTGGTGTCACTCCAATAACGGCAATTTTGTCTGTGAACATTGCCGTTTAAAAAAATGTACATTCGTCACTAAAACAAATAATGTGAAGATAGGTAGGATGCCTTGCAATGGTTTCCGTCATGATTTCGCAGAATTCTCTTCTTAGATCAGGGTCATCTTCAATTAATTGGTGTACCATTTCAATTCTGTATGGATTCTACACACAGTAGAAGAGACACCTCACAAACATTCGCGACGGAATAAGTAGACTGATCAGGATTCACTACCACCTCACCAATTGTTTGCACTTGCTGTTCTTCCGGAATGGACGGATGACCTAGGTGCGTTCTGTTATATACACTACCGGTATTTGTAAATTTGGATACAAGTTCCCCCAAATGTTTTCTACAGATAGGACGATTTGGAAATCGTTCATTGAAAATACTTTTGGTCTCGTGAAAGTGATGTGTCGCACCGTAAATGAAAATCGCTTCAGTTTTATCTTCCAATGGACGAGAATTGACAATTTCAGAGATTGTTGACGTGGTACCTTTCTACTACTAAAACTGAAAACTAAATGAGAATATTCTATATTCTATATTCATTGTCGTACTGACATTTTTGGTCATTTTTATAAACAAAAAAAAAAACTCAATAAACCTTATCGGGTTGTTGGAATTGCCATATAGCAGATAAAAAGGAATATTTCTAAGAATATCGATATTAATGTTTTTGTCCTCAGGAAATCATTAAATGTTCCGTCATTTTGTAGTAGGTGAAGATATTGACTTCATATTCTGGGGTTGTAAAGTATTCATCAGGAGCTTCGAAATGATTTGTCACAAGACCCTCCTTTCCTTTTAATTTTTTTCCCAGATGGCGCCCAGTATAATATGCCACTTTCAAAAGTTCATTGTTCTGGGATAGTTTTATACATTTCCTTCGAATAGAGGCAAAGCCCAATCAAAATAACTTTGAAGATGTTTCAAGTATATTTGAAACAGGTGAACATTAAAGTGCTTATAGACTCAATTGTTCCATTACAATAATCCATTCAAACTTTTTTGAGCTATCACTTTCTGGTAAAATCGTGCTGAATCCTTCGCAGTTCTTGGTCTTTCTGGATCACTGAAGTCCACATCGTACAAGCCATACGCTTCTCTGTAATGGATGAAGAAAATTTTGAATCAAATAACTTTCTCGATTGATGAAAAGTGAATAGAAACATTGTCAGAGACTAATTCGTAAAAAAATACTACAGACATTCTGGTGATGTTTTACGAATTTGATTTTTCCACTCATGAACTTTTCGGAAAAATTTCTTATGTTCATAACCCATCTCAAGAAGCACAGCCTCGAGAAAAAATGAGTAAAATACATTTTACACAATCAGTAAACAGTAAAAATTACTGGCGTAAGGTTGAATAAAAGCAAATTACTCTAATATTCATGTAGGAATAAATAAACATCATAAATCTCACATTCCACAATTCACAAACAAATACCAAATCTATACTAATCTATATCTTTACTGATATCGAATCTTTATCTATACTGATATTATAAATGTGAAACTTTGTGAGGATGAATAAATGTAGGTATGCATGTTTGTGGATCTTTCACGCCTAAACGACTGAACGGATTCAGATGAAACTTTACTTTACTTTTATTTGCATGATATTTCCTGAGCTTTTCAATTAATTAAGTTCATTGAATTGAAATTAAGCGAATCCCTCTAGATAATCGTCAGATTATGAGACAGCACGTGTAAAACATAAAGATGAACCATATATATCTCAATCTGACGCGCTTGCCTATTTCAAAATTGGGAATTTTTTTTGCACATTATAATAATGGCCGCGAGTTTGCGTCAGATAGAAATCGTCAGATTATTGAATGAGAATTTTTTTGTTGCACTTAACACCCCCTTAGAAAACTTGACGCGCTCTATAATTTTTTTTCTTTTCACTTTCAACCCTTACATCACGCAAACGATCAGATTAACATAACAACATTATTAAAAATACGTAGGATATTGATGCTATCAATATCGCGCTCGAGTATGCCCATGAAAAAGTATTTTTTTACATATTTAAAAATATATAGCCGCTTCTCCCACCGATGAAATGGGTGTACTAGTTGTACTAGATGGGCTGAAAGGTTCGTAGGTTAACATACATAAGGCGCTACTAGTAGGTTAGGTTAGGTTAGATCCAAAGTGAGTGGGTCTATTCGACCCTCCACCGCAACTCGCAAGGGTTTATTGTGGCTCACACCTATTCACACTAGACCAAATGAACCCAGCTCCCCAACGAAGCCGATTAGTTCATATAATGAGTGATCTTTCAGGTCAGATGATAAGAGTACAGCTCTGCCGAACTCTAAAAACCTAATTCGGTCCCCAGCGGGGCAGACACAAAGTATATGCTCTGCTGTTTCAGCGGTTATGAGATAGTCGGATAGTCAAGGTGCAAGGTGCAGCTACATCTGACGATGCTTTAGATTCAACCGTGCAGGGCTTTTTCGCCTCTGGTTTTGGTGAATCATCACTGGAGCGCAAACGTTTGCTAGCCTGCTCATGGGTGGTTTGTTCCTTCACCTAGGACAGATTCTGCGTACGCCGCTCAAGAATTTGGTGCAAGGCCGTTTCATAAGGAACCCCGCTCTTGAGGAAACGACTCAGTCGTTTCTTGGCTGCACCACCTAAACTTTTTTTCAAGTTCAGTTATTGGATCAGGAGTTGCAGAGTTGAGACGCTCACGCTCCTGATCTGAATTTACAGGGAGGTCAGTTGGAGTCGTAAGCTCGACATCCATCTTCTCTGTAGACTCAGCATCAGAAAGAACTTTTAAGTTCACTCTGCCCATAAAAGTTCCATTAGTAGCTAGGGAAAGAAGGTCAATCACGGCAGAGCCCCGCATTACCATGATGGGGCGATGCTATGACGAGAGGGCGTAGAGGTAGAGGTAGAGGTTCCGTAGAGACAGCTGATAGGCTCAGTGTCATTCATCCTCTCGGCACGGATACACACACCTTAAGATTATGCCATCGTTGGGATGCCATTCAGTTAGGGAATAACAGAACCACAAGTGAATCTGTCATTCCCGTATGCAGCGGGACTACGTGGAAGCAGGCATCCGATGGCCAGTTTGCTCAACCCCAACATCCCAAGCCAATGCACTCGCCAAAAACAGCATGCACAGTGGTTCAGGCAGTAAAAGATGAACAAGGACAGCCAACCCGCCCGCTACTAGTATCAAATTCATTGTATCAATTAACCCTAACCTTCAAGAGACATATGTGAAAATTCACAGCTGTCGGACTATTAGTTTGTGTGGTAGAACATGTTAAGTGAAGCAACTTCTATTGGTTCGAAAAAAATTGCTAAAAAGGGATTTCGTATGTTGATAAAGCATTGCTTTTTGGCGAAAAGAAATAGCCTGGCTTGAAAAACATTATTCGGATTTTACACCAGGAAAGTCAAGCGTTGAGAAGTGGTTTAAACGAGATGAAATGAGCATTGAGGACAATGCACGCAGTGGACGTCTCAAAGACGAAAACATCAGAAAATTCTATAAAATAGTTTTTGGATGACCGCAAATTGAAGTTGTTTAAGATAGCTGAGGCTATCTGGATCAACATATCAATGGAACACGTTGGACATATCGTGTATGAATATTTGGGTATGCGAAAGCTTCATTCAAAGTGGGTGCTCTGCGAGCTCACAATCGATTAAAAACAACAAAGAGTTAATGAATTTCAGCAGTGTTTGAAGCTGTTCCACCATAAAACCCAAATTTATACGTCGATATGTGATAATGCATGAAACATGGCTCCATCATTCCACAATAGAATCAAAACAATGGTCTTCTGAGTGGGTACGTGTTACGTGGTTCAAAAACGCAATATTCGGCTGACCAGGTTTTTATCATTATTTTGAGATGCGAATGGCGACTATATGGTAATGGATTCAAAACAGAAAGTTTTGTTAGGCAACACAGGAACCATAATGTTTGATTTATTATCTGCAAACTAGTAAAGGGTTAGTTGATTTACTGGACAGAATAAATTCTCACTATCATAATTTATTATCGTGAACTCAAAGAACACTTGAATGAAATGAATAAAAACACTTTTGTCTAAATACCACTGGTAGATTTTATTCATATGACCGGTTTCGGGATTGACTCCATTATCAAGTATAAAACTGAAATCCGAAATTTTGAAATATCGGTTTTACTAGAATTTTCAGGTATGCTGCAAGGGCAGGCATTTGAGAGATAGGTGGTTGGGCGAATCAGGATGCCAACTGAAAACTCCACCCTGAAAATTCTCGGAGTTGTTAAACTCATAAATTCAAGAGAGGAGACCTACATACATCGAGTTGCTCGTTTAGGTGTATATGTTTCTGGTTTTTGATTGATTTGTTAATTTCCATGACTTCATTTCACAAATTAATTTTTTCCCTTTATTATAAATGTGTAGGATTTTGAGGTTATCTTCATTTATCTTGAGGTTTGATTCTTGAAGATGTTCGTACATTGCAGATTTTTTTGTCCAAACAGACGTGTTCACGCAGTCTTATGTCAAAATTTCTACCGGTTTGGCCTGTATATACTGCAGAGCATTCGCCACACTTTATTCTATATATACATGATTTTTTCATTCTATCCCGTTTGGGTTATACAGGGTTCTACCTAAATTTTTATTACTTGAGAAAGCTGTTCATATTTTGTATTTGAAAAAATAATTTTGAATATTTTCTAAAAGTTTACCTAAGTAATTGATGCTACTGTACTTGACTATATTGTGTTTTCCACAGTTTGGATATAATTTACTCATGAGTGTTTTGTGAGTTTTACCTAATATTATGTTTTCTATCAGGGAAATTGGTACCTGATGTTCACTGCAATTTGATTAATTATTTTTATTTCATTTTGGATTTTTTTTGAGGTAAAGGGATCGCGAAAGCTCTGTGTATCATTGACCTGAACGTGGATAACTTATGTGAGAGCGGACTTTAATAGTCAAAGGGAATTTTACAGTCTGTGAACGTGTTTTCCCGGTAGATATTGAATTGAAAATCGTTAATACCAGTGGTATTTTGACAAAAGCATTTTTATTCATTTCATTTGAGTGATCATGAATTATCATTAAGTAAACAAGTTATCAATCACACATAGTGAATTCTAAGCATATTCAGACAGAACCCATATTCACAAAGATCACAAAAATAAAATCTTATGTTTCTCAAATTAGTGATTTCGTTGAAGTTGAAGAATGATTTCCAAATCTGAAAGTAATGAAAGAGATTTACCTTACTGATTAATTATGTTTTGAATACAGGTGTAAGAACAATTGAATCTATTGAGGGCAACCTTAAGATTTTTGATTGATTTCAACTCTGACCTTTGGATTTTGTTAGAAGTTGTTTTGTTTTTTCCACCTTTGAATTCAAGAATAGATAATTCAGGTTGAACGTGTTCTGAAAAGACACGTGGATTGTACAAATCAAATCAGAGAATTGTCGAAAAAATATATAAAACCGCAATACTTACGTGTAGCCAGCAAACCATTCGAAGTCATCCAGCAAAGTCCACACAGTATATCCTGTGACATTAATTTTATCTTCATTGATGGACTTCCATAATTGCTTCAAAACAGTCTGGAGTAGATAAAAATATACTTTAGTTTCTACTTTCGTAAAAGTATTTTCAACTTTTCAACTGAACAGTATTTTCATAGCATAATAAACACATATGTGTAAGTTTTCTGCAAACAAGTATTGCCCATCCTTACATTTGGCTGCACCGCGCTAACGAGGCCAAAAACACTCGTACGCGGTTTTGCCCCATTTTTGAGAGTAATGTCCGCTAATTTTACCCTTTTTTATATTTTTGGTACATATGTACATATATAATATATAGATTTTTGATTAACGACTGAAGGTAGTATGGAAGGTAGGAACTATATGGACTTTCAGTCACGTTGTCTTTGTTGGTGGTAAGATTTATAGTGTAAGAACGTTCCTGAAGCACTAGGTTTGGTATACCAGCTAGTGATTAATTTGTTGTCCTCTTTTCTGACAACTTTCGTGTCTGAGAAGGGAACGCTACGACTGATGTCTTCTTCTTCAATGATGAACTGTAATTTTTCATGATAGAGTTGAAAACCAACTGCTGCAATTTGTCCTGAGGTGCACTTAACATAATATTGTCTACATATTTAAAAAAAAAAGTTATTTCAAATTGAATTTTGTTTAAACAATCATCAATGAGATCATCCATCACATATTGTGCAATAATAGGAGAAACTGGGCTACCCATTGGAATGCCTAGAGCTTGTTTGAAAATTTTCTTTGTCAAAACTGAAAACTGTTGTGTCATATAAAAAGTCGATTAATTTTAGGAATGAAGATTGTGAAATATTGCAATGTGAAGAAATATCCGTCCAGTGTCTGGAAAAACTCTCTTTTGCTAGATCTACTGTAATATTATTAAATAATATGACGGCGTCTAAACTGATTATGTTGGCATCAAAAGGGAGTTGAAATTCCTTCATTGATGAACTTCAACTTCCTTTTGATGCCAAAATAATCAGTTTGGACGTCGTCTCATTATTAAATAATATCACAATAGAATTAGCAACAGAGTATTTCCAGACACGGATATTTCTTCACATTGCAATATTTCACAATATTCATTCTTAAAATTAATCGACTTTTTATATGACATACCAGTTTTCAGTTCTGACAAAAAAAATTTCAAACAAGTTCTAGGTATGCCAATGCCTAGTCTCTCCTATTATTGCACAATATGTGATCGATGATCTCAATGATGATTTGAAATAATTTAAAAACATGTGTAGACGATATTATATTAAGTGCCCTTCAGAAAAAAATGCAGCAATTGTTACTAGTTTTCAACTCCTATCATGAAAAATTACAGTTCACAATTGAAGAAGAAGATATTTATCGTAGCGTTTCCTTCATAGATACGAAAGTTATCAGAAGAGTGGACAACAAATTAGTCACTAGCTGGTATACCAAACCTAGTGCTTCAGGAAGGTTCTTACACTATGAATCTTACCACCAACAAAGACAAAAAATAAACCTAATGCTAGGTATAAAAAACAGGATAATTAAAACAAGTCACATTTCATTACGCAATGACAACCTCAAAAAACTTTCACAACTTTTCATTAACAGTGGTTACCCAAAAAAACCCTTACATAAGTTAATCTTTAATAGGTCATCCATAGATATTAATTCCCCCAGGATCAACAAAGATAATTCTAATAATAGATAAATTCAACAGAATCTTTACCTTTTATTACCTCACATTCAAACATTGAATCATAAATTCAAAAACATTTTCCGAACATTAATATTGCATATAAAAATCAACTCACATTGAAAAATATTTTTTCAAAATTAAAAGACAAACATCCAATTTTAGACCATTCAAATGTAGTCTACTGCATACCTTGCACACAATGTGATAGAAAGTATATTGGCCAAACCAAAAGGAAATTGAAAGACAGAATCTGTTCTCATAAAAGCGATATTAGAAATTTTTAAAAAACCTATGCTGTAGGTCAACATACGATTGAACTAGACCACAGACCTGATTATGATAATGTGACTATCTCAGAACATGAATCCAGTTCAAAAATGAGAACTTTTCTCGAAATTACAAAGATTTTCAAAGAACCAAATTTAATGAATTATAGAACTGACATAAATTATCTTAGCACAATGTATTCATATCTACTTAGTCGTCCTCTATGAGGGACTTCTAACAACTGATATAATCCTTCCAAAGATAATATAATATTGGCAATCCTAGATAGTTGGTGTTTTAATATTTTTTTATATTTTTTATATTTCATCTCTCATTGAGAAATTAGAGCAGAAAAAAATCAAGCAAAAAATTGAAAACTGAACAATTGAATTGGAATAAAAATTTAAAATCAAAACATTTCAAGCCAAGCTACTTCACGACGTTTCGATTGTTGGTATCCGTCTTCGGGTGATGACTGGACTTCACCTATCCCCTCTTCACTCTCTCAACTTCACCGGCTCAGCGGGAAATGACCGTTAAGCGGGCGCTGACCGTTTTCCGCTATATTATGGGTTTATATGTTGCGTATTTCTACGCTAGCTTGGCTGAATGCGTCGTTAGACAATGAGTATGCAGTGTTTTTGAATTCATTTACAAACCAGTGTTTCACCCTGTAGATGATCTCAGCTTGGGACCACTTGATGTCATGTTGATGAGTCCAAACATGATCTGTTATTCCCAATTTGCTGGTTTCTTCTCGTTGTGTGTGTTTCTTGTGCTCGTCAATGCTAACTTTCAATGGCCTCTTAGTTTCACCGATGTATGATTCCCCGCACTCGCAGGGTATCTGGTAAATACAATTCTTGGAATCGCAGTCCGCGTTTAGTGGCTTGGTTTTCATGAGGGTGCTACGGATGGTGGTCCCGGATCTGAAGTAGTTTCTGACGTTGTACTTGGATCCAATTCTTCTTATCCTTTCCCACATTCCTTTGATGTGGGAAAGTGCAAGCACTGGTTGTGTCGGCTTCTCTTCTTTGCGAGGTACTTGCTGTTTTTCAGCCAAAGTCTGTTCTACCATCACTTTGGAGTAACCATTCCATTAAAAATCTTTTTTGGTGATGCCTAGTTCCTTTTCAAAACCTCCATTCATATAACAGAGCCCGAAAGCACGGTCTACTAGAATCTTCATGATTCCTCTTTTGTTATATTGATGGTGATTAGATTAGTGATTCAGATTCTGACCCGTGTGAGGGAGTTTTCAGTATACAGAAGTTTTCCACTCAATGTCAATCCTCTACACCAATACGTCTAAGAACGACAATTCGTTTTGGACTTCTGTCTCAAAAACGAAAAGCATCTCTCGGAGTAATAAATCTAGTCATCACCCGGAGATGATTGTGGATACTAACAATCGGAATGTCGTGAAGTAACTTGGCTTGAAATTTTTCAATTTTTGATTTCTTTTTCATTTCAGTTGTTCAATTTTCATTTTGTTGCATAAATTTTATTTTATTGTAATTTCTTTTCAGGGTTTTTTGCCGAACTAATGAAATTCACCACGAAACATTGTCAACCACCTTCAAACAAATATTCAAAGTCATCAATAGTAATTATATTTTGAAGCTGCCGCTGATAAGGCTCTTTGATAGTTAGTAGTGATATAGTAATACGCGTATGAATATTTCTGAAAACAATCGTGAGTGAAATATATGTTTAATAACGCCTTATTGATTATTGTTGTAGTCACAAAAATCCAAATGCCCGTCATTTAATTTATTAATGGGGAGTAGGCATATTGAAACCTCACTGTAGTTATACTTCCTTGAAAATGGCTTCAAAATCGAAGCCGAAACATCAAACAACCGGAAACAATAGACGCAGTTTCCGGACTCAAGATTGTCATATGGGGGTGATATTTCACATTTTGATTTTTTAGTATCAATTTGACTACAATCGTTAAGGTCTGATATTTGATTAATCACCTGCTTCTAATTATTCACAAAAATAAGTTTTTGAAGTGGTTTGTTTTGTACGAAATACATGTGTGTTATTTATAATCTTATAATCATCTTTATCGGAGATAAGGCATTATTAAAAAGGAAACAATTGAAAGTCTGAATAGACCTATATATTAGATTTTTCCTTCAATCATACTATAATAATACACTTGTATGCCCATAATCCATTTCTTTATGAGATCCATTATTATACAGATTTTTGATGAATAGAAGGTGATAATTTTTCAATCAAGCATGCGGTGCATTTGGTTCCTATTCAATTGTTCCATTTGTAAAAATCATAGGCGCCAATAAATTCAAGATTTTGCCGGAATACTTAGTAACACGACTATCGTCAAACGAGCTACCCTGAATAACTTTTGGTACAATGATTTGCATGTGAAATAAAAAAAAACTTCAACCGTAGTATACAGGTCGACACATTTTGACATAATACCATCTATTGCAGCACCAGAGCATGTCACAAATTTTTTTTTAAATGGATCACCCTATATTGTTTCGCATTATCAGATGTTCCATGATGAACAGATTTCAATAAAGTATAAAACATATGGTCTGAAGCAGTTTGGGAGCTACAAATTATTTTAGTTGAAAACGATTTTCAGGAAAAAAAAAGAAACACCTCGATAATAGTATACAGGGGGACACATTTTGACATATTCACATTTGATATAACTTTCCACATCGCAATCCCAGAGCACGTCACCATTTTTTTAAATGGATCAATTGTTTTGCATTATCAGATGTTCCACGATGAAAAGATTTTAACAAAGTAGTACATTATGGCTTGAAGCTCATGGTTTGGAAGTTGAAAATTATTTGAATTGAAAACGAGCACCCCTGAATGAACTTCTGTACAAACTGTTACCTAGGTTTCATAGGTGTTTTTGTGGAAGTTTACTCAAAAACAGTCTTGTTTTGCTTAGTTAAGTTTGAATTCGATATTCTCTTCATTTTGTTTTGTCTCATTGTACAATAACGATTATAGTATTTCCAATACCAATTAGAACAGCACAGAGAAGGAATTCCCGCCTCGACATAGGCGTCGGCATATCATTTTTCAGTGGTGGTTTTTCAGTTATTTATTCTTACAATCATAGCAATTGATCACCCCATGAAAACTGAATTTTTCCACCATGGGTAATTATGGAAAACTTCGAAATTTAAGGTAGTTCATTTCCGAGTCGAAAACTCTAAAATACAATGAAAACACAAATAATCACACCGAATTAATTTGTCCGCTTTTAAATCTATTGTTGACAAATACATTTGCAGGTAGTGGTTCCACTAGTTAATTACCGAAAAATCAATTAGGAGAATCATCATTTAACGAACAAAGTCCACATCGGACCAAAAAACTTCAGGTATATAAATAGCTAACCCTTGTCTTCAGATTCAGTATCAATTTGTTTCTCCTGAAGATGCTAACCTTGGTAGCGAAACGTGCGTCGAGTGCAAAAATATCAGTTGGGTGTTATATAGGGTAATTGATCTCTAGAAAAAATTTTCAAAAATCAGTTTGCAAAACTACTCACTACCTCAACTAACCCCACGAACACACGGCACTGATAAAGAAATATTCTGAAACGGACAAAAAATTAGTATTTAGCCAGTCCAGCTAGCCGAGCCTTTATTCCTCAACTACATTTGATAGCACCTTCACTAACTATCTGGGCGACTAGGGGCACAGGTAAGAAATGTTTATGACTGTACTCTTATTTATATTGCCGTTCCAATTGGAAATGGATAGACTATACCTACCAGGTGGAGTTACAATTGGTGTTTCTGTTTTTGTGAATTCTTGGGAAGCAATGGTTTATAGGCTTCGAGAACGAATTGAAATAGTGAGCTTGTACTTTCAGAATGGAAATAGTGCTAGGGCTGCTGTCTGTATGTTCAACGATATTCATCCAGGAAAAAATGTACGACACAAATACGTTTCGGAATTATTGAACAAATTTATGGAAACTGGATCTGTTAACAATAAAAATCATAACCGTTTAGGAGTTGTCAACGGAGAAGCTATTCGTACTGCAGTTTTAGGGCACGTTAAACGTTAGAAAATTCTCAATCTCTTACTAAGTTATCTCGAGAATCAGGAATCAGTCGTACAAACGTTTACAGGATCCTTCATAACTACAAATTTCATCCATATAAGATTAGACTAAGTTCATGAATTGAACGAAGATGATTTCGATAGAAGTATCAAGTTTTGTGAAAGTCTCACTGAACAGATCAACTTGCATCAGAATTTGTTGTATAAAATTTGTTTTTCGGATGAATGTACGTTTAGTTTGAAAGGAAAGGTGAATCGACAAACTTGTCGATATCGGAGTGATACAAATCCTCATTTATACCGTTAACTTCATAAATAATGACCTCAAAAACTGAATGTTTGGACAGGAATTTCGAGTGATTACATCATAGGACCTTTTTTTATAGATGATAATTTGATCAGTAAAAAATATTTGGATATGTTGGAGAATCGAATAATAGGGTAACTGAGGAGAATATAATTTTTTTCTAAAACAAAATAGTTTTTCAGCAGAATGGTGCACGTCCTCATCATGCAGCTCCAGTGAGACAATTTTTGTTTTGGCTTCATATTGCATACGCATTTGACTATGAGGAAGTTCTGTTCAAAGTGGGACCACCTGAGCTCACTGTTGAACAAAAACAAGAATGTCTTGATATCTCTGAGCAGTGTTTGGCTATGTTTTAACATAACAAACCAGAATTTTTTGTCGATATGTGACAATAGATGAAACATGGATCCATCACTTTACTCCGGAATCGAAACGATAGTCACCTGAGTGGAGAGCAACTGGTGAACCTCGTCCAAAGCGACCGAAAGCACAAACATCGGCTGGAAAGGTTATGGCTTCGGTATTTTGGGATGTGCGTGGTAATATATACATCGTCAATCTTGAGAGGGGAAATACCATCAACAGTGAATATTATATAGCGTTATTGGAGCGTTTGAAGGCCGAAATTGCAGAAAAACCGCATATGGAAAAGAGAAAAATGTGTTTTATCAAGACAACGCACCGTGTCACAAGTCAATCAAAACAATGGCAAAACTACATGAATTGAACTTCAAACTGCTCCCTCATCCACCGTATTCGCCAAATTTGGCTCACACAGACCACTAGCGGTTCACAAATCGCAAAAGAAATGCTCACCGGTTAAAAATTGTTTTCGAATGAAGAGGTTGTTGCTGAAACTGAGACCTATTTTGAGGCAAATGATAAATTGTTCTATGAAAGTAGTATTGAAATATTAGAGCGGCGCTGAATGGAGTCAATTTTGAACGAACAAACGCGTTTTTTTCTTAGGCCTGGGACTTTCTAGCTCATTGTTGTACGATTGAACCTTTACTAGATTTGTAGTCAGAATGAATAGCTTCTACTTGAATAGCTTCTTCTCAATGTAAATTTGTATGTAAGCTGGCTGCACTCGTTTCACAGCCTTTCTCCTTGAGGGGCTCATTTTATACCAGCTTTTCATACGTGGTTCAGTCCACTGGACTAGAATTAGTATTTCAGAAAATCATTGATACACGAGTACAAAAAACTTTTTCTTGAAACTAAATAGTGATTTGGACATTGTTTGTGTCTATCTGACTCACCTGGATTGTCTTTTTGTAACCACCGCTACTATCCTCCTTTTCTTCCGAAAATGCGAAATCATTTTGAAAGGTCGGTTTCTTGTCCACAGTGTCATCTAGTGCTTCCACTCTAATGGTTACATAGTTGTTGATTCCAATAAAGTCGAAAGAACCTTTCAGCTGTCTTTTCTCTTCTTCTGTGAATTTCGGTAAACGAGATTCTGGAAATCCTTGCTCTCTACTATATCGATCAATTCTTTCGATCATCATTTCTGGATAATCTCCAAATACGATTGGATCGCAAAACCACCGAAACTAAAAGAAATG